GAGCGCTCCCCGCGCGGGCGCTGCGGCTGTTAGAGCCGCTGCTCATGTACAGCCTTTTCAAGGGACTCTTGGAAACGCAGAAACCGGAGGGTCCGGAATCGCTGAACGTTTCTATGGGGAAAAGTATGTAGAATTTTTTTTTCATCCGATTTAGGGGTGGTTTTATTTGCGTAGTTACTAGTTAGGACTCCCTTCCCGGTTCTGTGGGAGCTGTTACCTCCCCACTGTGCCGCAGAAGGGAGGCTGCTGCCTGTTAGGAGGTTTCCGCACCGGGGGGTCCCGTTTTTGGAGCAGAGATTTCTGTTGACAAACCCAGGGACATGCCTACACTAGCTCTTGTCCTGCGTAGCCTCATCCCGCACTCTCCAGACCCAGGGCATCTGCCGTAGGAGCAGGATACGGCCCTGTGCCGGGTTGGGGGGTGTGGGGTGTGGGTGCCTGCAGCGCTGCTCGGGGGCACATTCTGCACGGCCCCAACTCCAGCCCCGAGCTGCCCCAGGGCCAAATGGTCTCTGCCGACATGACCTGGTCTGTGCTACCGCAGTGCCCAAATGTGCCTCTGTGTGTGGTTTTTAGGAATCCAGGAGAGAAGCTGAAATGCAAAACTCTGTGTACATATTTACACAGACATATGTCTATAACGCGTGTATGTTTATACGCACAGGGCTTTGCATCTCAGCTTCTCTCCTGTGTTCCTAAAAACTGTTTGATTTTCAAGCCTGTTTGTACACACAGCGTCATTAAATATGAATATACTATAAATAATAACTAAAAAATGTGGAACAATTATTGATAGCTTGATGCCACAAACAGGTTTGTATCCTAGGCAACAGAGCAGCTCTTGCTGTCCATAAAGCCCCTAACGAATGCAAACAATTTTTACTGGTAACTTAAAAAATACTGCCCATTCTTCCGAAGTGTTTTTAAGTCGTACAGGTACATTTCATTAGCCTGTTCCTGAGCAGACAAATACTGCTGAGATTTATTTTTTTTTTCTGAGCAATGGAGAGCTTTTCTTGCATTCCGTGAGTCTTCAGGTAGCTCCTAAAAATGATATCAAAATTCAAGATAAACCTCAAAGCCAAATAGAAATGCAGAACAAAAGGTGGAAAGACATTGAAATAGCATTCCCCTTTAAAGGATTATTTTAAAATCACAGTCTTATATTTTACTATGTACTTTTCATGCATATTTTTAGAATCCAAAATGTTTTAGATGTTTGTACTTAGAAAAAATAATAATCCCGTGGCCTTCTATGAAGATCAGTCAACAAGGACGGGAATAATAAGGAATTACAAGTGTCAAGTGCGTGGCTGCTCAGCTCCCATCCATCTAATCTGTTTATACCCAGAGCTTGCAGGAGTTCCCGTGCGACCGCTGCCAGCCGTGACCGTTGCTCTCCCAGTAAAACCAGTCCATTTCCCTTTCAGATGAGCCCTCTATGTCTGAAATGAGCCATTCCAATGGGATTTACAGCAATCTCAACGAAGCGTCCCCTGCTCTGGGGAGACAGGCTGGGACCAACGGGAGCTTTGCGCTGGATCACAGCGGCATCCCAGCTCAGGACCAGTACCACGACCTGCGATCCAACAGCCCCTACGGGATACCCCAGTCACCGGCTTCCTTGCAAGCACTGCCAGGCCACCAGCCTTTAATCTCCAGCTTGGTTTACCCAGACAACGGCTTGGGCATCATGGGACAAAGCGGACAAGGGGTGCCCCAGTCCATGAGGGTCCTGGCCGGGAACGGACCCAGCTCCGACCTCTCCACCGGCAGCAGCGGGGGATACCCGGATTTCCCCGCCAGCCCGGCCTCTTGGCTGGATGAAGTCGACCACGCTCAATTTTGATACAGGGTCCACCACCGTGCAGTGGGAAGGGAAAGGACTCGGTGCTGTTAAACGTCATCTACTCTTGGAAATGAAGGAGGGACAAACTGTGACTGCTGAGCGGGGCAGGAAAGCGTGACGACACGGAGAGAGCGGACGGGGTTTCGGAGGGCGACCCAGCGGCGGGTTGGCAGAGGACGGTGGGCAAAGGCAGTCGCAGCGCAGTGATTAGCGTACGGAGCGTCCAAACGAAACTGGTTGTTGTGTCTTTACTAAACACCAAGACTTGTGCTTTACAGATTTGATATAAGGTATTTTGCTTTCTGTTGTCAGTGCATTCTCCAAAGCAAGGACTTGCTTCATCACCCATCCACACCGAAAGCTTTTTAAGAGAAAATAAAGTCCTCATCCACTGTAAAAGGTGTGGCAATGTCTATATTTCTATAGGAGAAATGTTAATAGTGAATCACTTCAGAAATCCATGGTAGAAAACTTCTCTGTTCTTCCAGCAGATTTTTTAAAAAGCGCACCGATGCGGTATGTTTTGTTTTATTTTGAATTTACATTAACTTTTCTAAAATGAAATGCTCTTTAATATGCCAATCATTTATCAACAACCCTTTTCCTTTGTAAAATGAAAATCATATGTTAATTCCGCTTCTCATCTTTTTAATTTGTAGATTGCTAGTTTTATTCTTCCATATAAGCATTAAACCGTGAATAGATGTATTTATTACCAAATAACTACACTTTTATCACGAGGTCAAGAGGTGATCTTTCTTGACCCAGGAACACTAGCGGCTCTGGGTTGTGAATCTTATGCTTTTCTTTCAAATTCCTTTGCAACAGTTTTACTGCAAAGTGTCTCAAACGTCACCCTGATGTCTTGTTGCCAAATACCTTCTCGGGGGGGTCTCTCAGCAGGAGGTCTCGGCTGGGTTTGTTCAAGCCGTTCTCCCGGCACCGCTGGGAGCGTGTCGGAGCGAGCACACGCTTTCCTGGTGACCCTTCTCTGTTTCAGGCATTTGTGTATTTACGCAGATATAGTGCGAGCTGATTGTGAGGAAAGGCAAGACAATATGTATATTGTTATCTGTAAAAATTATTGAATTAACTGTAGATTATGTGAATGTCCAGTGTCTTTTATTTATATTCTCGCTTTCTCTCTGATGATCAAATACTTCAAGATTACAAATAAATTTGTCAGCTAAACTTTAAATAGTCTTTTGCTAAATTCACATCAAAAGCATCCATACAGGTAAATACAATACCTGAAACTAAAAGGCAAAGCCCCCAAAACTCAATGCCATGATTCAACAAAGTGTTGAAATGCACTCTTCCCTTTAGCTACAGGAGCAACCCCACCGACGTAAGAATGCTTTGATAAACTGAAACAAAAAAATGACAGTTTTGGAGGCTGGCAATCCTCGGGAGATCCAAGCGATACTGCTCTATGCACGCACAGGCTTTGATCGCAGTCAAGCTATTTATGACGGGTCATGGTTATTTTTCAGCACTCATTGCAAAGGCAGAAATATGTAAAGCAGAAATCTGTGCTGATAAAGCGGTAGAAAACAGCAGAGTCTGATATTGTCTGTCGGTGGACAGAAAGTTGTGCACATGCAACACTAAAAGTCAGATACTGGAATATTTCGGAAGAGAAATCAGGAAGAAAAGAAAAAAAGCTCTAAGGAATTAAGCTTGACCAAACATACGCAGCCTGTGTTTGTGTACACACACCCGAGAGGCGCGTCCACACACGTATCGTCATATACAAATGTCTGTGGTCACGCTCCTCAAAGCAGAGTGAAGCACTTTGCTGAAGTCTCTGATTTAAGAATCAGATGGGAAACACTATTTAAGGCACATGGGCTTCGAGCCTCTCACTCCCCTGGGAAGTCGGGGAATATTTGTACCGGGTCTGCCGTGTATCAAGTATCTTTGAGAGTGTGTGAATTTGCAGCACGCTTCGGCAGGGAGGCAGCGCCGGGGTCGGGGGTGCGGCTGCCTCTGGACCCGGCCCCGCGGGCGATACTCTGGCACACGCCGTCCCGCGCTCTGCAGGGGACCCCACGGGAAGAGCTGTGCTGTCCCCGGGCGGCTGCCAGCGCCCCGGCACGGCGCGCGTGGCCCCGGGGACTCGCCAGATGTCAGGCGGCGGCGACACCTGGGAAGTCCAGGCTTTCGATCCTTACCTTTTCTAAAGGACACACCGCCACTGCTGGAACAGGGTGACGTGTCGTTGTCTCCGGCCCCTTGCTATAATCGCCCTCGCTGTTTCGCAGCTGCGGGGGGACGTGTGCTTGCCATAACACACGGCTGTCGCTCCCTGCTTTCCGGCCGCTCTGGCCTTCGCTTGGCGAGGGTGGGACACCGACGTCTCCGGAAGCGAGCAGGTATTGACAATACTTGCAGAAACATTTAGGTTTGCAAAATACTTGTTAGCCACCAGCGCTGCGTAAGCCTCTTTACAGCTTTTCCCCCTCCTGTTACACATGCATTGCACCTGCGGAGAAGAAACATGTCCGGGTTCTGCTCTCAGTGAGCTAACAGAAGCCTGCCCAAAGCCAAACGGGTACGTGCACACCGCCTTAGTGCTGCAACATTCGCTCAACAGAGAAACCCACTCTTTTTTTCAGGAGACCCGGTCCAAGAGCTACGGCAGGGAAGGGGGAAGCCCCACTGCGTGACACCATGGGGCTTTTGGTGTAAAAACACCACACCAGCTTGGACCTGGGGGTGATATGTGCAAATTTGCTCGTGTCTCTGCTCCTGGGGGATTTTTCAGATGGGTGAAGCTGTGCCTCCTGCAGCCAAGGCAGAAATTTGCCTCATTCGGGTCTGAGATCTCGGGTCTGAGCCCTCGAGTCTGAGCCCAGGGCTGGGCTCGGCAGCAAGAGTCTGCAGCTGCTTTTTCTTCCTTCTCCAGGACCGAGTGATAGAGACAACTGTTGCTGCTAGCCCGTAGGTAGATCGCAAGGACATTTCTTACTGAAATTTACGGAGTAATTGGAAAATTGTGGGATTTTAAAAAAGCAGATTACAGAACTTCACCCAAAGAGAAAACAAGAGTTCGTTTTCAAGAATTCTGTGATTTCTGCTCTCTTGCCCTGTGATCTAGAAACACCCTCACCAAATCTGGCTAAGTGTTTTGCATCAAAACATTTTGGCAGTTCAAGCATAAATAATATTTTCCTATAAAAGACTAAAAACAACTCTGAAAGACTCTTATTTCCTAAAAAAGAAAGAAAGAAATAAGAACAGAAAGACAGAAATGTAGTTGATTTTAGGATAATGCTGCTGTTATAAAACCACTGACTAGGAACTGTAGTAATTGAACACGTATTTTATAGATCTTTTTTTCATCGTTTCCCTCCCAGCAAATAACGGGCGCTGTTGTTCCTCTCACTCTGGGAATTCCCAGCGGATGGCTGAATTTAAGAAAGGAAGAAATGCAAATTTCCCCCTCTGCCTTTGTGCTTTGCTCTGAAAGGCAGAACGGGCTGAAAGTTGCCGGCGCTTGTGCTCGTCTGAACACGCAGAAGAGCTCCCCGAACGTCCTGATATAAAATTCAGGGATTGCATTTCAGCCTCTCCTTTCAGGGCTGAGGCTCAGGGATTCCATTAATATAAATGTTTTCTTCCCGTTAAAAAGAAAACCAATTTGAAAGAGGCAAATAAAACTAACACTATCCAATTGACTGACAGCTTGTAAAACCCGAACAGAATTAGGAAGAGGGGTTTCGCATTGCTCAATTTGCAGGTGAGCTTTACAGCCTCCGCTGATTCGCGTGAGTGCGTGACATGGGAGGCAGGAAATTTTTTGTGCTCTCAGTGAGGAAAACCTAACGTATGAATCTTTTTTTCCAAACAGCATATTCGTCTTTTAGAAGCAGTTGTGCCTAAACTTGCATTCCCTACAGATGCGGGGAATGATTAGATGTTGTGTCAAACAGTAGAAGTAACTTATTTTTTTTCTTATTCTGATTTCCTGTATGAGGCCACAGAAAGCAAACCCCTCAGGCTAGGAGGGATAGACACCACCTTACTGTTAAATATTTTCTGCAATTTCTGCGGGGGTGTTCAGCTCTGCAAGGGAACCTGTTTACTGCAGCGGCCGAGGCTGCCGGCGCTTGCAGCGGGCAGTAACCCAACGCCTTTGAACCCGTCTGGGAGCAGCGAGGCCAGCGGGAGCCGTGTGCCGGGAGGGCGGCTAATCCGCCCGGCTCCGCTCGCACAGCTTCTACGGGAGCTACAACTTGAGGAGCTGGTGCGAGCCGAGCCCAACAGGGCCGGGGCACGGGGGTTTTGTCCAGCCTGATCCAGGGGAATGAGGTGGCGAAAGGGGGGGTTGTCCCCAGCTGGGGTCCTAGGGCTGGCCTGGGGACAGCCCTCTTCCCCAGGGCGCAGGGCTGGCCTGGGGACAGCCCTCTTCCCCAGGGCACAGGGCTTGGGGACCTTAGTGCCCTTTTGGGGACATTAGTGCCCCTTTGGGGACGTGGGCCAGGTGAAACCCCTCGCCCACGGAGAGCAGGGAAGGTGGCTGGGGCCGGGTCATCCTCGGGGTCCCCTCCGGTGGCTTCTCCCGGATGTGTCAGAGCGTCTGAACAAAGGTGCGCTCGCTGCCCTGCGCATCCCGCCTTGCCTCTCCCTGCCCGCACCAAGGTCTGGGGGAAGAAGGCAGGAAAGCGGAGACCTGTGTGATTTATACACTGAAATAACATTTAAAAGCAGCAAATGACTTTGTTAAAACCTGACAAGAAAACCAAGCTCGCAAAAATATGCCGAGAAAAAAAGCAAAGGTGTTTAAATTTTTTTTTTTCCCTTTCTGACATCTTTATTAGGTGTCTAGGTGGGAGTGCATTTTGCACTAAACCACACGTGCAGGCGTGTTTGTTGGCACACGGGTGTAGTGGATAAGGAACAGAGCCTGGGGAAAACATTGATTTAGGACGCAGAAAGCACTGCTTTTGTGCTCAGCATTTTGCAATCTGGGGATGAAAAATAATTTGTTAGCCAAA